CGTCAGCCGGACATCCTTAGCACTGCTGCAGAGGCAGGAGAGGCTCCCACCACCACCGCTGTGCTTGCCAGCTGTGAGTCCAGCTTCTGGCTGAGAAGCACTCCCCCTGAGGGAGCACACTGACCACCAGGGGGCAGCTCCTAGGTTGAGCATCTGCCCCTTGGTGGTCAGTGCGCACCATAGCGACCGGTCGTTCCACCGTTCGGTCAATTTGCATGTTAGCCTTTTATTATATAGGATATTTAAAACCACTTGCACAGCTAAAATAGAATGATATCTCAATGGGATAATAGAATTAGAAAAAATATTAATGGAAAAATAAGAATGATAATAGCTTTCATGAGTGCTTACTATATGGTAAACTTGTTACAAATATCATTCATTTAATCCTCACAAATAACTCCATGAAGTAGATTTTATTGTCTGTTTTGTGTTAAGTTTACAAGAAACTCTTGCCTGGGGTTGCATAGCTAGTAAATAGATTTAACATCTGTCTCAGAACTACCACATTATTTCAAAATAGAATTAAAAGCTCTTAAATATGCTCAGGTTTTAAGTAACTTAATCTATATAATAAAAGCCTAACCAACCATTACGGTGGAATGACCAGAACGAACAGTCGCTGTGATGCACACTGACCATCAGGGGCAGACGCTCAATGCAGGAGCTACCCCCTGGTGGTCAGTGCGCTCCCACAGGGGGTGGGGCCACTCAGCCAGAAGCCAGGTTCACGGCTGGTGAGCGCAGCAGCGGTGGCAGGAGCCTCTCCCGCATCCGCAGCAGCACTAAGGAGCAGCAAGCCAAGCGGTAAGGAGCTTAGGACTAAGAAGCAGCAAGCCGAGTGGTAAGGAGCGAGGGATCCCAGATTGTGAGAGGGATGTCCGAGTGTGGCTTATAATGATATCAGACAGGCAGACATCCTCCAAGGGGTCCCGGACTGCGAGAGAGTGCAGCTGGGCTGAGGGACACCCCCCCTCCCCTGCAGTGCACGGATTTCTTGCACCGGGCCTCTAGTATAAGATAAAGAAAGCATGCTAAACTAATCAAGGAACAATACAATAGTGTTAGAAAAATTAGACAACTATGGTGAGACTGGCTTTTTTATAGTTTCCTATTGGAAATATAAACTGTCTGGGCATCCAGAAAATAATTTTAAATTACTTTCAAGAAGTCCTAAAATGGTCATATTTTTAATACAATAACTCTATTTCTAGGACTTCATTCTAAGATAATAATCAGATGTGCAAAATAATGATTTACGGCTATTTTATTGCAATATTATGTAAAGTATCAAAACATTGGGAGTATCTATGTGTCTAACAATGAGATGGGTTAAATAAATGACAAAAATCTATTGTTTTCAATTCTGTATATCTGTGAAAAGTCACATTTATGAAGCAGATTTGATGTCCACAATACAAAGTTAAATGGAAAAAAGTAGTATATGCAACTAAATAGGAAATGATGCCAGTGTTCATATTTGGTGCTGGGAAGCGTGGGCAGATTGCTTCTTTTATGCTTCCCACATAAACCAGTTAATAGTTTTTATATCTGGGTGGCAGGATAGGAGGTGATTTTTTCCCCTTCATATTTCATATTTTAATTTTGAGTACATGTATTAGTTTCATGTCACTACTGTAACAAATTACCGCAAACAGAAA